ATGGTTGAAAATTTATGATTTCTTTCTAATTTTTTAAAAATTTAAGTACTATGGTTGCTGTTGGTAATTCATCTTTTCTTTTTGTTTTATTTGAATAGGAGGGTAAAATCGTCATTTTATTGAAAAAAGGATGAAAATGACCTTTTGCGTAATGAAAGGTGAAAGATAGGGATAAAAATGCTAAAAAAATAAAAGGTATGGATGTTTTGCACAATAACATTAAAAGGTAGAGACCTTTTGTGCTAATTATGGTAAAAAACGAAAGGTAATGACGTTTTGCACAATAATATTGAAAGATAAGGACCTTTTGTGCTAATTACCCTTTAATTTAACAGAGTATTTTAACGGGGAGTTGACAGAATAACGTTTTGTGCAAAAAAAGTAAAGGTGAGGGTGTAATCCGTCAAAAAACGAAAGATATGGACGTTTTGTGCTAATTATCCCATAAAAAAATAAAAAGAACCAGAAAAGGGAAATCGCTACCCCTTGCCGAAAAACATCGATAAGGGATAAGGGGTTAATAATATAAGCTAGCCTAGAGAACCACCCCCAACGATGAATGAGGCGGATCACTACATGTCGATGCAAGGCCATCGACCCCCTGGGGGCGCTCTACCTCTATGCGAGGCCATCAATCCCCTGGAGCACTGTTACTCTACGTGAGGCCATCGACCTTCGGGGGCGATCTTACTCTACGCGAGGCCATCGACCCCCCGGGGGCGCTCTACCTTTATGCGAGACTATCGACTCCTCGGGAGTTACCTATGTAGTCACTCCAACACTTAGTCAAAAAATCTCAGGTAAATTTACAAAACTCCATGGTGGTTATTATGGGCACAACCTCCAGGCGGGAAGTTAGAGACCCCCCACCCAGAATGTGGAAAGTGGGAAAGCCAATGTGGAACACGTGGCACCATGATCGCCTATCACTCACCCGACTTCCAGTACTTATAAATACCTCCGAAGGCGACACAGATATGAGGATGGACATTTTTTTTAGCCATCTAAATTCCGTCTGAATTTCACACATACACTAATTCTCATGCTAGAGATAAAACGGGGGACAAAGCCCCGCCCTTCATTTTTTTAGGTCATACACGCCCATCGGAACAGTAAGAACACCAAAGATTAGCAGGTGGACAAGGAGGTATCTTTTCTCCACCATTTCACGTATTATTGATATGATAAAAGCATAGCACTTTGTCATGTTAGTTTGCGAGGTCTATGTGCTACAAGTTGTAATGCATAGCACTGTTTAACAATGTTGGTATGACAGACTTAGTGACTTCACCCATGCTTGGTGTGGCTATTTAGCAGATTCCTATCAAATTTTACTAGATTTGACGTTGGATTTTGTACAATTTTAAAATGAAGGCCTACAAAATAACAGTTTGAATAGATTCAGTAGGGCAGACACACATTTCTTACACTCTTTCGTTTCACCCTCTATAAAGGATGAATACTCCTCCCAAATAAATACATCTAATCAACCCCTTTTTCACTTACATTAGAGGACAAAAGGGAAAGGAAAACAAAAAAGCCATAAGTTTGAGTTTGAATGTTATTGGAGAAACATGCAAATTGCATTGGGGGGGGGGGGGGGGGGGGGGGGCATTAAAATTCATATAAGAAAACATAGGGAAGAGAATAGAAAAACTCAGTTGTAGATCCTCAATTTCTTCTCTTGTTTTTCTCTGCCTTGTTCTTGAATCTCTTGATGTTTTGCCCCTTTGAATTGTTAAATCTTGCTCCCTTGAATTATATTTTTGGTTGGTTCAATTCTTTCAGAAAATAGGTTTTTGATCTTATATTTATAGTATTTTTGGAGTCTTGGACGAATTAGGGTTGAGTTGAGCTAAGAAAAGAATCAAAAAAAAAAAAAAAAAAATTCCCGCATAGGCAGTACCTCGACGTCCAAGATGGCACACTGCTGATTTTCAGCATCGTGGGCATTGCAGCTCCCATTTGCGCCTACTTCGGGTAGAAAAGATAGTTTACATCTCCTTCAGTATGTTTATCACCCGATATCTGATTGAAACAATTCAAGATGCGATGGAAGGTTAACTGAAAGAGCTACAACTTTGCTTTAATTATCGTTCTCCAAATTGAAAGTTTGTTATGTCATAAATGGGTCTCAATGTAAGACTAAAAATTCAGAACATAACTTTTTGGGTTGGAAATTGACGTACGATCATACTTTGGTTATATTTGATCCATTTGACATTTTTCTTCTTCCAGTTGACCCATAACACTCTCGAATCTTCATTGTTAGGTTCGACACAATTTTTTAAGTATATACACTTTAGTCCCCGAAATTTAGATCTCTTACAATTTAGCAATTTTCTCCAAATTTATCAACTTTTGCTTATTTCTTTTAATTTCGTCAACCGATATCATATTATCAAAACACACAATAAAATATTCTAAGACTTGTAGGAATAAGCTACTATCAAGCTCAATTGATGTCTAAAGTATGAGTGAAATATACTCATCAACAAACACATTTTACATCTACATTTCACAACCTCGAACACAAGTCCCCACATCAAAACCCTAAACCCAAATTTATGAAGTTAACTATCTCCATCCCACAAATCCATCCGACATACCTAGGTACAAACACATTTTATAAACACCCCACTCGCAAATCCGAAGAGCTAGGTCTTCCACACATTTGGTCTTGTTGCTTGGAAGGTGTTGGTTTCAGCTTCCATTTTCCTCCTAGCCTCGTAATAGATCAGGAACCAGCTTCATCAATCTCTCACACATTACAAGGTTACACCACACAAAGAAGGTATATCTACACATATCTTGGCTTTGAGGATAAGTGAGAAATCTTCTTCTTGGGTTCAGGTTCGTCCATGAGGTCTTTATTTGCACCGGGGAAAATTATTAAAAAAATTCATTTCTAGGATCAACTAATGGTCTTGATGGTCAAACACGCGAAAATCGTCATTTTAGACTGGATTTGAGATTTTTCTAAAGGTTTGGTACTTCATGTGGCACAAATGAAATGTTTAAATCAAAACTGCTAATAAATGAAAGGTTTGATACCTTGATTGCAATTTTCCTCATTTTTAATGGATGAAGACTTTAAATGATCAAAGCTTATCTTCAGAAGTTACATGGCTAGCAAAGGGGAATAACTAAACAAAATTTATTAAAAATGCTTGATTAGTCAACATTTCCGAGTCTTCATTACATCCTAGTATATATTTTTAAACGTGGGATCTAAAAGAATAATCCAATTGTTTTTATAGTTTATTACTTAATAATAAATTTAAAAGACACTCTTAATTTAATGCATGAAATGTCTTGTTAGTAACATACGAATGAGATTATTGTTCGAATGGACGTGAGAAATACTAGAATTCACTAGAGAACGGAAATTGAAATATTATTTTCCAAAACGAGTGCAGGATTTTCAAACCCTTGATGCATATTTAAAGCATCAAACAAAACTCTAATTAATAGACAAATTCGAATACAACTAAGAAACTGCAAAAACGAAAAAAATACTCTTAAATTAATTTAAAAAAAAAAAAACTAAAACGGTCCTTGAAAGGATGAAATTTGACCCTGAGATTTCGACGATGGAAAAATTGTAGAAAACTGAAAAATGCTCCCAAATTGCATTGCTTCCGTAAATTTTACGTCGAGTTGAAAGTCACGCACATTTTTATAGGTCCTTATTTATTCTCTTTTTCAAATGGTTTATGATTTTCTCTTCTAATTGTTCTGCATCATAGTCAATTTTTGAGTTTTCAAGTTTAGTCTAAAACCTAGTTCAAACTTTCCCATGATTTCACTAATTTTGTGTATTGTTTAACTGCAAAAATTTAATGAGGTTTGCAACGTTGATACCAATTCAAAAAATTACCCATTACTTCTACATTTGTTCTGCTCTATGATATCTTTTAACATTTTGTTCTTATCCATACGATAGTAACTTTTTGTAGCAGTGGTTTGAGTCATCTATGTGCTACGACGTAAAATAAGTGTCAGCCACGTAAAAGGCTATAAATAACATACATCTTGATATAAGCTAGCCTAGAGAACCACCCCCAACGACGAATGAGACGGGTCACTACACGTTGATGCAAGGCCATCGACCCCCGGGGGCGCTCTACCTCTACGCGAGGCTATCAACCCCTGAGGGCGCTCTACGCGAGACCATCGACCCCCGGGAGTTACCTATGTTGCCACTCCAACACTTAGTCAAAAAATCTCAGGTAAATTGACAAAGCTCCATGGCAGTTATTATGGGCACAAACTCCAGGCAGGAAGTTAGAGGCCCCCTACCCAGAACGTGGGAAAGTGGGAAAGCCAACGTAGAACACGTGGCACCATGATCGCCCGACACTCACCCGACTTCCAGCACTTACAAATACCCTCGAAGGAAACACAAGTATGAGGATTGACGTTTTTTAGCCATCTAAATTTCATCTGAATTTTTCCTAACGCAAAAACTAATTCTCATGCCGAAGGTAAAACGGGGGACAAAGCCCTGCCCTTCATTTTTTAGGTCATACACGCCCGTCAAAACAGTAAGAACGCCAAAGGTCAGCAAGTGGACAAGGAGGTATCTTTTTTCCACCATTTCATTGGAGCCGTCTGTAGGAATTTTCTTCCATTGAAAACCAAAGCCATGTCAAGAAGATGAACAAGAAGTGATACGCGCTTAAGAGCAGTAACGATGGAGACGAAAGCAGAATCAGTCGCCAGGGACCCCGACCCGTCACCGCCATCGCAGTATGTGACACAAAGCCAGTTTAGCACCCTGGGGACCCAGCTAGCAGCTAAGATGACCTTCTTGTAAAACCAAACACAGAGAGTTTCCCTTTCCCCACATTCGGTAGAAGTCGCGCTGCCACCCCGGGAGGCGTACATAGAGTGTGGCGGCACACATAGAGACACAGCCTGTCATCCAACCGGTAACGGCAGCTCCAGGGGTTACGGTCTTGTAGCCCATCCCACCCATGGCGGATCTGGAGTGAAGGATGGATGAGATAATGACACAGAAAATAGATGATGTAATATCAAAGAGAAAGGATAAGCGTAGGCAGATGGTCTTAAAAGATGACCCATTCGCTCCTAAAATCATGGCGGTCCCCTTGCTTAAGGGCTTCAAGCAACCTATGATAGAAGCTTACGACGGGGTCACAGATCCACTTGACCATCTCCAGACTTTCGTTGATTTAATGAGACTCTATGCAGCACCTGATGCAGTGATGTGTCGATCTTTTTCCCCGACCCTCAGGAGAGAAGCCAGAGACTGGGTGACGACACTTGCCCCTCGATCTAAAACATTTGATGAACTTTCCAGAAGTTTTGTGGCATACTTCCTTAGTAGCAAAAGAAAGAGGAAGATGGCCATCGGGTTGATGCAGGTGGTCCACGAAAATGATAAGTCTCTGCAAGAGTATTTGGCCAAATTCAGCTGAGCGACCCTTGCAATAGAGGATCTTCAAATGTCAACAGTGGTGACTGGGTTGATGAACGAAACTTGAAATCGGGCCTTCAAGATGTCACTTCCAAGAACCCTTCAAAGTCAATGCACGACCTGTTGAAAAAAAGAGACAAGTACTTTGATGCCGAGGAAGTGGAGAAGGTCACAAAACACCTCAGAGAGGGATGGGAAATGGAGAGTTACAAGCGAAAGGTAGGGGATGAGCTAAGATCTGGCAAGAAAAATAAGCTAAGTAGTGAGCAGACGGGTAGGGAAACCACCCAAGACCGACAAATCAGGCAGAAACGATAGGAGCCCATGACGTTCACCCCTTTAAATACCCCGTGCGCGAAGCTATTGATGGAGATATGAGATATGAAGGAGCTTGAATGGCCGATGCCCATGGCAACGCCACCCGACAAGAAAAACCAGGGCCGATATTATCATTTCCACAAGGATCACGAGCACGATACTGAAGAGTACCTGCAACTGAAGGAGGAGATCGTGCGCTTCCTGAGGCGAGGGCTCTTAGGCAAATATGTGAAGGACAATCGAGGTAAACAAAAAGTGAAGGATTGTCCCCCGCCCAGGGCGGGAGTGATAAACACGATTGCAGGGAAAATAGCAGTAGGCAGAGATTCAACCTCGCCGAGGAAAAGCTACGCGCGTTCTCTTGGGAACTGTTTCATCCAAAGGAAAGCGAGGTTTAGTCAAAACATCACTTTTGGGGTGGAGGATTTGGTAGGCGTAGCACACCCCCATGATGATGCTTTGGTAATAGTAGGCGACATAGCTGATTTCGGCGTGAAGAGGGTACTAGTTGATGGAGGAAGTGCTGCAAATGTACTTACATGGGATGCTTTTTTGGGCTTGATGATCTTTTCTAACAAGTTGAAAATAGTAACCACCCCCTTACAGGGCTTTAGAGGGGCCACAGTAATTTCGGAGAGGACCGTAGAACTCCCTGTCACACTCAGCACATATCCAACTACTGTGGTAATTGTGGCAAGTTTCTTAGTTGTCAAAATTTCCATGGCCTATAATGAGATCTACGATCGGCCATTGCCGAATGTAGCTGGAGCCATCCCCTCAACCTATCATCGAGTCATGATATTTCCAACCACCAGAGGGCTCGGGCGTGTGCGAGGAACCAACAAGCATCCAGAAAATGTTATGTCGACGGTATATCAGTCAAGGGAACACCATCAATCATGATGTTGGAGGCTGAACCTTCGAAGGGGCAGATTGAACCACTTGACATGATTAAAAGGATCTCCGTATCAAATGGACGGGAATTTAGCGTTGGGGCCAATTTGGAATCTGACGAAAAAGGGAAATTGGTAAGGTGCCTGACACACAACTTAGATGTTTTCGCATGGAGTCCGAATGATATTATTGGGATCAACCCAGCCATTGCTCAACATCGCTTCGACGTCCTCCTCGGAGCCAAACCAGTGAAGTAGAAGAAAATAAACCTCACCCCCAAAAAGTAGGAAGTAGCAAAAGCAGATGTGGAAAAGCTACTACAAGCTGGTTTCATTCGGGAAGTGCGGTATCTTGAGTGGCTAGCCAACATCGTGCTAGTAAAGAAGTCAAATGAGAAATGGTGCATGTGTGTAGATTACACCCGGCTAAATAAAGCATGCCCAAAAGACTCATACCCACTCCCCCGAATAGATCACCTAGTCGACGCCACATCGGGTCACGAAAAGCTCAGTTTCCTGGACGAATTTTTTGGGTATCATCAAATTTCAATGGCCGAATTTGACTAGGAGAAGACGTCATTTATCACAGATTCTGGAACATATTGTTACATCGTGGAACATATTGTTACATAGCCATGCCGTTTGGCCTAAAAAATGCATGAGCAACCTACCAAAGGAGGGTGAATAGAATTTTTCAGAAATTGATTGGGAATGTCACAGAAGCTTACGTTGATGACATGGTGGTAAAAAAGTACCAAAGCCAATGACCACGCGGCCTGCCTAAAGAAAGCATTTGACGTAGCCCGACAGAATAACTTGAAGTCCAACCCGGAGAAATATGTTTTTGGCACTGTCTACGAAAAGTTCCTAGGCTTCATGATCACCCAAAGAGGTATAGAGGTGAACCCTAACAAAATATAGGTGATACTAGAGATAAAGAGCTCCACTAGTAAGAAGGAGGTCTAGCGGCTAACAGGGTGCGTGGCAGCCCTTAATCATTTTATGAGCTAGGCGATGGATAAATGCTATCGTTTCTTTAAGGCCATAAGGAGCTTCTCAAATTTCAAATGGACTCACGAGTGCAAAGAATCCCTGGAATCCTTGAAGAGGTCACTACAACAGCCTCCAATTCTGACCAACCTATGGTCAGGGAACATATTGCGTCTCTACCTCGCGGTATCACCACAAGCAATGAGCACCGTTCTTGTGAAAGAATTCCCAAAGGCACAAAAGCCAATCTACTACGTCAGTCAGGTCCTCAAAGGCGCAGAGATAAGATACAGCTGGCCGAATAGCTAGTGCTCGCGTTGATTGTTGCAGTAAGGAAGTTGAGACCTTACTTTCAGTCCCATACGGTACAAGTAATGACTGACCAACCCATCAAGTAGATCCTGGATCGACTGGAAACATTCAGGAGGCTGTAGAAATGAGAAATTGAAATAAGTGAATTTGACATTGAATTTGGGCCCAGGACGGCCATAAAAGCACAAGGTTTGGCAGACTTCATTGCCGAGCTCACCATCCCAACGGAGCCTCCAGAAAGACAACAGGCAGATTGGAAGGTTTTTGTAGATGGTTCATCGAATGCAGAGGGATCAAGAGCAGGGATAATAATGATCATACCACACTCCGAAGAGTTGGAATACTCACTGTGCTTCGAGTTCCCCACTACCAATAACAACGTCGAGTATGAAGCAGTAATCGCTAGCCTAGGTCTGGTAGCCAGGTTGGAGGTGTTGTCAGTAGAGGTATGTAGTGACTTGCAGCTAATAGATGGGCAAGTGTCAAGGGAGTATGAAGCGAAATATGGAAGGATGGCAGCATACCTGATGAAAGTAAGGGATCTGTAAAGATGGTTCACAAGCTTTAAAGGGACCAAGGCCCCAAGAAAAGATAATGAGTGAGCAAACGCACTGGCAAAGCTTGCATCGGGCAACCCAAGGAATTTCCCACGGATAGTGAATGTGCAAGTCCTACAACAACCCATCATTCAGCTTTGGGCAGAGGTGAAAAATATTGAACACAAGGAAAGTAGGATAGATCCACTGATTAGATATCTCACAGAAGATAAGGTGCCGAAAGACCCCTTTGAGGCGAGGAGGTTGAGAGCTCCAGTAGCTTCATTTACCATCATCGATGAGCAGCTCTACAAGCGGGGTTTTCCATGCCATATCTAAAGTGCATATTCCCAACCGAAGCAAAAGATGTACTGTTTGAGCTACATACTGGGACCTGCGGTAACCACCAAAGGGCAACATCCTTTGCCTTCAAAAATTCTGTGACGAGGTTGCTATTGGCAAACTATAAAAGAGGATGCTAAGGAGTTGGTACGAAAATATGACACATGCCAACATCATGGAAATTTGATCCATGTCTTAGCCGAACAGCAAGCAGCCATATTTTGGGTATGCCCATTTTTCAGTAGGGAGTGGACATTTTAGGACCTCTGCCCATGGCTAAGGGGTAGAGAAAGTTTTTGTTGGTTGCCATCGACTACTTCGCTTAATGGGTAGAAGCGGAGCCACTGGCAACCATCATGATAGCAAAGATACAGAGCTTTGTATGGAAAAATATAATATGTCGATTCAGGATACCCAAGGTATTGGTGACGGATAACGGTAGGCAATTTGATAATCATAGCTTCAAGACCTTTTGTGTAAATTATCACATCGATCATAGACTGACCTCGGTCGCCTACCCTCAATCAAATGAGCAAGTCGAAGTGACAAACCAAGTCATTCTTTGGGATCTGAAGGCCAGATTGGAAAAGGAGAAAGGGCTTTGGGCAGATGAGCTTCCGAATGTGCTATGGGCATATCAGACGACTCCACAAGAACCGATCGGGGAGACACCATTCAGACTACCCTTTGGGATGGAAGCAGTAGTTCCAGTTGAGATCCTAAGTGACTGGTAGGATGAAAGTCAAGTAGCCCGATGACACAACGACTAGAGGGAAACTTGACCTACTTAAGGAGGTAAGGGAGAAGGCGACAATAAGGATGATGGCCTATAAACGAAGAGCCGCTGGGTACTTTAATCGGAGGATGAAACCAAGAATCTTTCAGCTAGGAGACCTCATTTTAAGGGATGCAGCAACAGTAAGACACCCCCCAACAAAGTTCGAACCAAACTGGGAAGGCCTTATGAAGTGATCCACAGCCTAAGGAAGAGAGCTTATAACATGAAAGACATGAGAGGAAGACCACTGGGTAGGCAATGGAACACAGAGCATCTCAAAAAATATTACCAGTAGACTTCAAGGTAGATGCACATGCTATGTTTTTACAAATATAGTAGGATAGGTTGTGTTGTTAATTCCCTCTATGTAACGCCTTTAGTTACAATTATCAATCTTGTTTAATGAAAGACCTTGGTAGGGACAGATGATGAGGTGCTAAGGAAGGGCCAGCCTAGCTGGGACGTCTCGGTGGGCCTACTAAGCTCACGAATCCAAGTATTTTTTTATATGCTAACATGCATTTTTGTAACTCCCATGCTCATCCCGTAAGGACATGCAATCGACATAGCCCATGCGGTTAGGCGAAAAGTCTTGAAAAGCCAAAAAATTGGCTAAGGCCCTTAATCGCTAGATCCCTCTCCCGACGGTCAACATAGCCTACACAGCTAGGCGGAGAGCCTTGAAAAGTTAGAAATTGGCTAAGGCCCTTAACCGCTAGATCCTTCTCGCGATGGTCGACATAGTCCACGCGACTAGGTGGAGAGTTTTGAAAAGCTAGAAATTGGCCAAGACCCTTAACCGCTAGACCCCTCTCTTGATGATCGACATAGCCCACGCAGCTAGACGGAGAGCCTTGAAAAGCCAAAAAATTGGCTAAAGCCCTTAAGCGTTAGACCCCTCCCTCGATGGTCAACTTAGCTCATGTGGCTTGGCAGAAAGCCTTAAACGATTAAAATATTGGCTAAGGCCGTCAACCATTAGAATCAAGCCTAGCATGCGCGGGACAAATGACAGTCACCCATGCTGTCCAACGACTAAGTGGGGAAAACAACGCTAGAAAAAACAAGTTAAAAGAACGATACGTTCAATATTAATAACCATTGATAACATAGCATTCATACAAAAAAACATGTGATGTGCTCTGCCCA